AAATGTCCATAGGAGAACAGATTTTCTTTAAAAATGTATGGCATATTTACTACGTGACAATAAAAAGAACATACATTCACAGCCCACGACAAAGTGGATGAACAAAGCACACGGACAAAGAAGCCAAACCCCAAAATGTGTATGTGATTCCACCTGTAGGATGTTGAAAGACAGGAAGGCAAATCCACCACGACACCAGCTGGTGCCCTGAGGGGACCCCACGTACATACCCTGCCCCAAGTGTTCAGAATAACAAGGGGCCTGATCCCAATCCTTGCCCTGCCTCTTACTCACCATATATGGCAAATCTCCTAACTTTTCCAAGCCTCGGTTTCATCAGTAAACTGGTGACAACCATAGAACACATCCCATAGGAAATTTGAGATCAGGTAAGACAGCAAGAAAGGTGCCAGAGAGCTAGGCACATCAACCGCCACTAACTGAGTGTGGCAAAATTGTAACCCACCCCCATCTCCCATTCCCTTCCCACTGTAAGCAAGAGTTGGCTCATTGCCACTGTCTGGGGAGGGAAGTGGGACCAGAGAAGCCTGTGGCTGTCAAACATTTCTGTGCCGGCTCTTGTTTCCAAAGTTCCCAGGGAAGGGAAGGGAGAGAAGAGCGAGGGCTTTGAGTCCCTGAGTCATGGCGCAGATGGGCAGTGTGTTCACCAACCAAGGGCACCTGCAAGAGAGCACGAGGACTTCCTTTCAGCCTAAGCACCCAGCCTAACTGACCAGCCACGGGCCTAGAAAAGGGGCTCTACAAACCTAAATCCTGTGGGTTAAGTTACATCATAACTTTAACATAAAACCTAAGAACTATAGTTTTTTTAAATTCATGTGCCTTAGTGGGGGACTTCTGTGTTATGTGCCTGGTCCCCACTGGTGGACAGCATCATGTGAGACTCGGCTGCCAAACCCTCACCATTTCCTCCTGGGATCACAAGTTTCATCGTGCCCGATTCTCCTTGCTTCCCAGTCTGTGACTAGCGTCTGCCCTCAATGAGCTGTAAAACTTCAGCATCCTGGTCTCTCTTCTTCACGGTGTCCTCCTGCAATCTACCGGGAGACATGGAACCCACCATCATCCTCTTCCTGACCGTCATCAGAGCACTGCAAAAGGGGCACAGACCAAGCCAGACAGCCAGGCTCTGAGTCTGTTCATTTTCAAATGCCTCTGTCACTATCACCTCACCCCCTAGCCTGCCCCCCCCCGACACACACACACCAAGGGCCCACATCCTAGTGCTTTCCAGAGGTCAGCGTGTCCTCTAAGAGAAGAGGGGTCCTGAGAAGTGTCTCACTTGCCTATGGCCATCAACAGAAGCTTGCCTTCCAATACAACCACGGAAACTGGGATCAGAGGGCAGCTCTGTGGTGATGAGGAGCATCCACCAGGCTCAGCCAGCCTTCATCTTCATCCTTCATCCTGCAGGGAGCGAGAGGAGAGGACACAAATTGGGTCTGGGTCCAAGCCTGCCTCCTGGCCAGTCCACATAGTACTCAGCAGGCATTCTCTGAATGACTGAACAAGGGTGTCCTGTAAATTCCTCCTGTTTCCTGCGTTCCCAGGTTGGGATGGCAGCTGCCCTGAGCCAATGCCCAGGTGTTACCCAACCAAAGTGGAGTTCAGCTGCCCGCCACCAGCAGAGGCTGCCTCTAGAGGCAAAGGCTGGTGAGAAAAGAAAATTTTTTATTTTATTTTTTTAAATTTAGATGTTGCACAATGTGAGAGAATGGCAGACAATGGTCTCAAAGCCCATTTCTTTCACAAAACCGAGACAAAACCCAGCTGTCTTCAGCAAGACCAAAACAAAAGACAGAGTCTACCCTGACTGGTGTGGCTTGGTTGGTTGGGCATCATCCAGCAAAGTTAAAGGTCACAGGTTTGATTCTTGGTCAGGACACATACCTGAGTTGAGGGTTTGGTCCTGGTTGGAGCACATACAAGAGACAAGTGAATGATGTTTCTCTCTTGCATAGATTATTTCTCTCCCTCTCTTCAGCTCTCAAAAAAAAAAAAAAAAAAAAAAAAAAGACAGAGTCCAGAGTTCCTGTTCCCATTTAAAATACTGTCCTTTGAGACTCACAGCTTGTTCCTGGCTGCTCTCCAGCTTTAGGATCTCTTGTTCCCGCACGTGGGGCCAGCACTGCCATAAGCCACGTGGCTTCTAGGGCCACAAGGCCCTGCAAACACACCAACCAGTGTGTTCTCCAGGTGGGCAAAAATGTTTCTTCGTTCCCCTGGGTCTGTATCAGCTGGGGAGGGACCAGGTGCTTTCTTTTGCTTTTGGTGGATCCACCTCCCAACCAATCCCTTTTCTCCCCTGGCTAGACTGACAGACAGGTCTCTTCGTTCAGCACCTCCCCTTTTGCCATTTTATTTTTTATTTGAGCATACGCTGCCCCCAATTTGGTACTGGAAAGGGATAGGAGGGCTTTTCCCTTTTTACCCAATTATCTTGCTAGCCTTGCAAGTGCTCAGTGTAAGGACTTCCTCCTGCCCACCATTTTGCTGGGGGTGGAGCACTGGCAATGCCCCCCTCCCCCAACTATCTTGCCTTGGCCCCCATCTGTTCACCATCTTACCCCGGGAGACCTTTCCTGTTCCACGTCCTTAGCTCGCTCCCAGCAATCTGGACAGCCTCTCAGTATCACAGGCACCGGCTGTCCACTGAGCGGTCATGGTGGCTCTGTGAGGTGGGCTCCAGGACGGAGCCCCCAGCAGGCCGGTCCCAAGACTGCATAGGGCCAGTGGCACACATGTGAAAGCGTCATCAGCTCTTCTCATCCCCCAACCCAGCGCAGCAGTCCTCAACTCTTCACCCGGAGTCTTATCCCTTCCCAGGGTTCAGGCTGTGCCAACCCTTCCCAGAATCCCCAAAGCAGCCTCCTGGGAGACATCTCCTACCCCCCTGTTCACCTGCAGCCCCTTCTCAACATGGCAGCCTGAGCCATCTTCTGATCAGAAGTCTCCCAGAACTCCCAGGGGCTCAGAAGGAGGACCCCGGTCCTCACAATGCCCGAAGGGTGCCATGTGACCTGTGCCTGTGTGAATACAAGCACACCTGTGCACATCTCATTCCCAATGACAGTGTCAGGCAAACTTGCGGCATTGTGGTGCTACCAGACTCAAGGGGCTTGTCACTTGGGGTGTTCTATTCAGGGAGATGGTGCTTGTCCTCGGCTAGTCTCATTTACTTGAAGCAAGTGAACAGGACAGACTCACATCCAGAGTTGTCTCCCCGAAGGGAGGCTTAGCCGTTGCTTGTATACACTATTTGGTAATCATTTCTTCTTGGCAGTTGGCTAAACTTATCAGGTTGGGTTCTGATTAAGCTCATCCTTTACAGGCTGCCTCTGAAAAAAGTTATACTTTAACACTTAGCAAAAATAGCATTTCCTGGTAGTAATAACTGCTCAGATCTTGAGATCCTTGTCCTAATGGTGGCTTTCTTCTACTCTTTAAATACTTCCGAGAGAGTTTAGTCAAATGACAATCCAGATCTTTTCCCACAAATAAAGACAGAGGGGTTAACCTATGTTAACGCTGGGATGGCCCATGAATTGGGGCGTTTTCTCCTCAAAGTAGGTCGGGGTTGTATGAGGACATTCATAGCACTCCTAAGGGCTGGAACATGAAGATAATGAAAGGTTTCCAGAGAACATGACTGCTTTCTCCAAGCTCTGAGCCATACAGTGGGCTGCTCAGAGTCTATGCACCGGACAGCATGGCCACAAGGAATTCAGGGAATTCCAAGATAACTGTGATTGAGTTCACCAAATGACAGAGACTGAGCAGGTTTCTGTTCTGTCACTGTTCATGAGCACTAAAAGGTGACTCACTCTGAGTGTCCTCAGGGTGGAGAGAATCAGCTGGCTGAGGGAGGGGGTTGGGCTGTCTAGGCTACAGCAGTCAACTCCAAGTTCTCAAAGAAAAGGCCTGTCATGTGAACACCTGGGCTAGTTCGGCATGAGGTGGGAATGAAGGGCTACCTGCACCTAGCTAGTCAGACCACTGTGTGCATTCCTGCCCTACACACTGGCCAGGTGGATGTGCCTGGTCCTGAGCTGCCTGGTGTCAGGACAGAAGGGTGAGGAGGGAGCAGGGCGGCTGTGGCAGTAAGCACCAGCCAATGAACCAGATGCCCAGACCCAGCAGGGGGTTAGGAAGGGAGGTCCCAGTCTGGACTGCGAAAGGAGTTGAAACTCTCCCCCTGCCAGGGGACCTTCAAACCTGTTCAGACTCAGCAGTAGACACTGGCAGTCTGAGCTGGACAGGCAGACATAAATGGGTATATGGCCAGACCCATGTCACAGAGTTAGGGAAAAAAGTTCATCTGCAACAGTCTCATGCAACAAGCATTCAGCCCCAATACAGAAGAATCTCCACTGACTTGTTAGAAACATCCAATGGCATCCTCTTCAGGTGAGGAGCAGAGAGCAGGGCATGTTCAAGTATGCGGAGATACAGCTTTACCTCCCAGTCCACACAAGACTTACCTTACCCAGCCTCACAGCAGCAAGATGGCAAGTGAAAGTGGTGCCAAAGATGGAAAAATGTCTGAGGACCCTCCTAAGCCAACTGCCACTTTCCCCAGATCAAGCACCACATGGACACTGCTGGTCCCTAAAGTGGGTCTTCAGGTTTGTTAGTTCATTGGAAGTTAATTCATGCAGCAAGTTCTAACAAGCTGCCTGACCAGTTCCTTGACCAGGGAAAGCCAGCTGGTGTTGGATCCCTGCACATTCACCTGCTACAGCGGAAGCAAAGGACACATTGGAGTGGGAGAACATATATTCTGGATGACAACTGCTGGCGCTGCCTGGTGTCACTGCAGGCCACTGCCAGATGGACAGGCCCTACAGGCTTTGGGGCTTCACCTCACACCAGAGACAGGGCTGATGTGAACGCAGCCCACAGCCTAAAACCGAGGGTTATTTTACTCAGTATTAGTAGAAACCAGGTATAGACCCAAACACCAGAGGCAGGTTACATCATTCCAATTTGAGACTGGTTTATAATCAGAAGTGCTCATCTTCCATCCGTGTGCACTTTACAAAGCTTAGGGGAAGCCTTAGATGGAGGAGTCCTTCAGAGCAAGCTTGATGCTCTGGGTAAAATAGGCATTTTCTTGACTTTATTTAAACAATGGTGAAACTTAGAGAACAAGAACCAGCATGTCCAGTTGTCCTTCATCTTCATTTTCCTCAAAGCTTCATGGCCACAGCTATCATGTGCAGTCCAGGGCTGGCCACGCTGGGCACGAGAGAAAAACCTCATACTGCAAGATGGGAGCACTGATACTTGCAAGCTCAGTCCTGAAGAAGATGTGGAAACTGGACTTGACTGCAGGACCTGCCAGAAGGACCTGGAAGGTGAGCCCTGGGTATGAATCTCTGATGAGATCCGGCTGACGGTGCTGGGTGGCTGAACCCCACAGCTGCCCAGGTGGGACCTCATCTTCTCCACTTGCCTCTCCGGGTCTCCACAGAACCTCCTGGGAGGGCCCATTTGCCACTCAGGGAATGTGTCCCAGAGCCTGTCAATTGTGACACTGGGAAGTGAAAGAAGGTCAAAGTTGCCAAAGGAACTGAAGTTAAGGGCAGTGGAGATTTTTTTTATTAAAAAAAAAAAGGGGGGGCCAGTCAAGGGGAAATTAATTGGGAAAACAGAGGACACATTTCACGAGACAGTTCGGGTCAGTCTCTGTATGAGGGTGCCACGAAGCTGCCCCTTCCCTGGGGATCCTCACACTCAGTACAACCCGGCCAACAGGGACAAGCAAGGAAGAGAGGACGAAACTCTGCCCTGCCCTCCATAAAGCACACACCTGGGCAGGTGGTGTGGAGATGGACCTCTGCAGGCCACAGGGAGCACTGAGACATTCTTGGAGGCCAGCATGCATTTAGGGCTCCATTCTTCAGGAGATACTGAGATTAGCACGGACCTCAGAGGGGGTCCCCAAACGTAGTTGTCAACCTAATATGGGCACAGCGCCAGTACAAGAGTCAGTGCTCAGGGTCTCCATGAAGGAGGGTCCTGGTCTCCAAAGTGCACCCCAATGCCCACAGTGTGACTTTTCTAAGCTGCCCTTAGGTAGCTGCCCTCTCAGCTGTGAAGGGGCTGCACAGTCCTCTCATGCAGCCACTTCTGACACTTTAACACTTCCAAGAACAATGCCAGTGTACACTGTGCAGACAAAATAACTGCAGGGTCATAAAAAGACACAGACTCTGACCCAGTTCTGGGACACGTGGCTGAGTTTGCAGTTGTACCATCAGAGTGTGTGTGTCGAGGAGGGGGGACTATGTGCAATGAGTACTGACTAGAACTGACTGCTGGGAAGGTTCTAAACCTGGAGAAAGGCCAGGGCGAGCCATGGGTGCTGCCTGGGGACCAGGACCCACGGTGCTGTTCGCAGGGCCTCCAAGCTGCTCAAAGGCCTGCAGTGACCTTCCCTAGTGACCCACACCTCTAGCCCATTTCCCTGATTCAGAAACTGAGATGGGGGTGAAATGCTTTTGTCCAAAATCCAAGTAAGTCAGTAGAGAAATGGGAACTCACAAAAAAAGTGAAAAAAATATAAAGGAAAAAACCAAACCAAAACAAACAAAGCAAAAAAAGGAGAAATGGGAATTCAGTCCTCAGTCCCTAGACTGACATCCCCAATTCACTAGGGCTCTCTTTCCACAAACACTGCCTCTCCCTTCCTGCCCAGGCTACACAGAAGTTCACCTCGCCAAGACCCTCCCTCACAGGCCCACAGCCACTTCCATTTGCTTCCTGCAGAACAAAAGGTACAGCTGGCACCCCCTCCACACTGGACCCCTTAAATCAAGAGACTGAGTTTTGGCATGAACTTCCCTGAAGGAGGATTTTGTTATCCCTAGAAAACTGTCCGTGAGCCAAAGACAAACTCGATTTCTCCAATTCTTTTTTTGTTGTTGTTGTTATAAGACATGCTCAGCTCAGCTTTCCCATCAGCTACTGACAAATGTGCAGGCCTACGCTGACACGCTATAAAAGTATTTCAGGTGGCTGAGCCAAGATGCCTTCAAGAAGGTGGGTGTCCTGGTCGGAAGGTTGAATCTCAAAAGTGCATGCTGCTGCTCTTCCCAGGTCTCGGGGTCTGGAGCTGCCCCCAGCAGAAAGAGGGGCTGTCAGGAGGTCAGGGACTGAATGTTCTTGAGCATCTCCTCGAAGGCCTGTGGGGATGGTGCGTCTGCATTCCGGAAGGTGGCCTGGACTCTGCTGTACAGGCTGAAGGATTTCAGCTCCAGCCAGATGAACCCGAAGCGGTCCTCGTCGAACAGGATGAAGACCCCGGGGGTGCGCTCAGGGCTAGTGAAACCATGGTCAGCAATGAGGCCTGTACCATAGAAACTGAACCAAGAAAGAGGAAAAATACAAGGGAGAGAAGAGTAAGAGGGGCTGCGAGGCACTGTGCTGGCCCAAGCCAAGAACTGGTCATGCTGCAGTACTCTAAAACCCTCTCCTCCCATTCAAGCCAATTTTCGCTCTTTGTAAACAAGAAGCTAAGAGTCAGCTGGCACCCTGAAAGAGCCTATCCTCGTGGGGCGCCTGAGCACCACTCAAAGTCCAGCACACCGAGCCATGGTAGCAGAGGAGTGGGGCTCTGGGGGTTTGGGGGACAGACATTCACTTGCAGAGCATGTGAGAGGGCTTGCTGAGCTCCCCCATACAGTTGGGCTCACCCTACCAGCCACTGATTCCTACCACCTCGCCCAGCTCTGGGAGGAGGGTCTCAGGCAGTCCCACCTCAGAATCTGTCCCAAAGCATGTTTTCATCATGCAGGCCTGGGTTACAAAAATCTTAATTTCCAGGGTAGTTATGTCAACATATGAACACTTCAAATAAAATCAATAAAGACTTATTGGCATGCAACTGGCATTAATTCACAAAGTAGAACTTTCAAATACCTATATGGCCAAGTTTTGAGATCTAAGTCAGGCTGAAATACATTTGTCCTTCTTACAAAGAACCTGGTGCTTCTGCCCATGACAAGAAGTCAGGGGCTGGCCCAAATCTCCCAGCAGGTGGAATGGTACCTGAGATCCCCCCACCTCCTCCTGCCATGCTGAGGCTCTGCTGGGTGCGAGAGGGGAGAGCAGCCTGTGCTTCAGAGGGTTTCCTGGGTGGAATGAAAGCACTACAGCCCACAGGGAGGCAAAGGAATGCCCACTGGGCTTAGAGAACACAGCAAATGTCTTCTGCACCAGCACTGCAATAAGGCCTTGCAGACAAACGAAGCAGACAGGGAAGGCTCACAGCAGGCCCTCCCAAGCCATGGAGCCACTAATATTCAGCATGGGTTGGAGGACCACCCTGTGGCTATGCCAGGGGCCTGGACCAGACCTCCAGACTGGATGGCCCCAGCCTGCTGGTCGGCTGGCCATGAGCTACTAAGAGTTGTCAAGTTTTCCAGGGATAACAGAGCCTTTTCCTTGCATGGCCTTTCAAACGGGCACGTAATATACAGCATAGGGAAAAGAGTCAACATTATCCTAACAACTCCGCAGGGTGACAGATTTATTAGACTTATTTTGGTGATCAGAGTGTAAGGAATATAGATGTCAAGACACCATGCTATACACCTGAACCTAATATAATATTGTATGTCAACTGTAGTTTTAAAATTTTAAAAACCTGACAAAAAGTTTACATCAGATGAAATTATATTGGAATGCTATTTGTATGTCTCCCTCTGGAAAAGCTAAATTCAGTCACTTGTATCATAATTGTATAACAAGCAGAAAATGAAATAATGTTTTTCTGCCAAGCCCACTAGATACCTAAACCGCCTTCAGGGAGCTTGGCGTGCAGTGCGCACTGTGAGTCTGCACATGAACAGCCGCTCAGACCACTGCAGGCATGTGGCACAGCAGTCGGCCCAGACACAAAGGGAAACGGACTTGCGCAGAACTTGAAAAGGGTGGCGAGTCAGCTGTAATGCCTGAAACTGACAGACTATTCCCTCAAAATATCCATTACGGCAACTGCATAGAACTTCCTCTGATAATGGAATGTCCTCGACCTGCATGTGCGATATGGTAGCCATCAGCCACATGCTGAGCCCTTGGGGCCAGTGCAACTGAGGACCTTTTGAATTTTACTGACGTTAGTGAAAGTTAAGTAGCCCAAAGTATAGGGGACTGGGACGAGGGTCTCGTAATCGATCTGCCAGGGAATGGCCTGAATGGCAGGGCTGGGACTGACTGGCTGAAAGCAGAGACCAAGACAAGACTGTAACAACAGCAAGTCAGGTGAGGTGCTGGCAGCCTGGGAGAGGTCTTGTCCCAAGAGCAGAAACCCTGACCTCTGCACAGAGGGGAGCAGCAATGCCAGCCCCTTACCACATGTTGTCTGGGCTGGGGTTCACTTGGGTGGCCAATTAGGAGCTGGCCAAAAGTAACCGAGGAGGGCAGAAAAATAACAGAAATGAGGAAGGAAGTTAAGAGAAGAAATCACAGGAAGAAATAATAATCTGACGTCCAAACTACCTCCATTAAGAGATGAATGGCAAACCCACAACAGGCCTTACCAGCAAGGACATCCAGTGAACTCCAAGCAGGCTTTCTACGTGGAGAGGTGTGGGCTGAGGGAGAGTCCTCCTCCTCAGTGTCTGCTTCAGTGCTACCTGACATCCTGCCTCATATCCCTTTCACCTTAGTAACTATGTGACATGAGGCATTCTGGGAGGAGTCTTCACACATGGCAATTCTAATAAGCCCAGTCTGAGGCTCCCGGAAGGGATGTGAAGGGTCTGAGCTGGGGCTTGGACCCAGCTGCTAGAAGCTCCCATTCCGGGGCAGGAAGCCCCCACACCAGCCTGTCAGAGCCTGGGCCCACCATGAAGCCCAGTCTTCGCGCACCCTCGTGTCCTTACCACATCCTGCAGGTTCGGGGGTAGTCCTCGTTCCTTGAGGTCACACCCACAGGCAGAACAAACTGGACAGGCTGCTCCTTCAAAGCTGCAGCCCCTCTGTCCCCAGGCTCCCAGACCTTCTCAGTGGGTGGCCTGGCACCCTCACTGTCCTCTGTCCTGTCTTCTTGCTGCTGCTGCTCCTGGCGCACCTGCTCATGAACCTCCAGGACGATGCGGGAGAGCTCATTGAAGTTGCAGAGGTCCTCGACATTAGGCAGCTGGATGCGGTGCATGAGGTCAATCTCTACCGTTTGCTGCCCTGCAGGAATATTGGGGTCACCCTGTGGAGCGAGTAGGTGACAGTGAGCAAGGCTCTGAGGCCAGTAGAGACACACTCCAGCCTAGGTCCCACCTCTGGCCAGAAGAGCTCACTCTAGTGTTCCTGTTGATTTAGAAGTAATCCCTTGAGAAGTAATACCATTTTAGAAGCCTGTAAAATTAGCACATAGAGCAGGTCCCCCCCATCTGTAAAGGGGTCTTTGAGGCCAGAAAATGACAGCATCTACCAGGGACATGCTGAGGGTCCACAGGCACAATGGCTTATCTGCACTCAAAGACCTCAGGTGGGAACTAGCCTGTGATAATTGAAGAGACAGAGGTTTAGAGAACTCCACCCCCTCCCAGGGTGAGGCGGAGGGCAGCAGGCCTGAGAGGCCAGCCCATACAGGTCTGCCCAGAACACAGAAGCTCCTAAGTATGAACTCCAGGAGCTCTCCCAGGTCCTGCAGTTCTACAGGATTCCTGGGGCATGCCAAGATCCCCCCAGAAGAGCCACAGCATGCTAGGGACAAAGCTCTGATTCCAGGTTCTTGTTCAATAGGAACTTTCCCAAAAGCAGAGCGACCTAGGAAGACACAGGCTCAAGAGCAGCACTATGTGAGGACTAGGAAATGGTGCTGCTTCTTCAGGATGCTTTACTGCATCTGCCAGAAACTCACCCCAACAAACTATGCGTATGACAGGTGAGCACAGTGTGAATCACCAGGCCATGGAGTGGTCAACACAGGGCCTACTCCGCTCAACAACCCTCCAGCTGCTTTCTCAAGCTGCTGAGGCCAGGACAGGCAGTGAGGCCTGTGTGCTACCAAAGGGGGTCTCCAATGGCGAAGCCCTTGGGGTCACCTGCGGAGCTTGTGGAGCCCTTACCTAGCCCCCTAGCCATTAAATGAGAACCTGAAGGGTGGAACAAGGGCATCAATGTTTTCTCGACTTCAAGTATCTCGGTATGGAAAAGAAGAAGCGCTCACCATCCCCTGAGGCCCTGGTTGGGTGAGTCCAGGTGGGGCGCCAGGATCTGCATTCCCAACCAGCTCCCTGGGGAAGTGATGATGCAGTCTGGACCCTACTGAGGAGCCAGGGTGCAGCCTGCGGCACGATATACCAAGGCTGGCCTAACAAATCCACACAGGGCTGGACCTGGCCTGGCAGCCCCAAGACTTACTGTGATCTTCGTGGCCCTGGCATGCTTCCCATGGAAGCTGAGCATGACAATCTCTAGGCCGTGGCTGCCATAGGTGCCTTTGAAGAGGCCTGGCTTGATAAGGTCGTCTGGGTGGCTGGGCGGGAGGTAGATGCGGCGGTAGGTCAGGCAGTTGCTGTGGGGGAGTGGGTGGTGTGAGAGCTGCAGGGAGCTGCAGCAGTGCAGAGCCCACACCTCCCTGCCCCACCACGGGCAAGGCAGGTAGCCTAGCATAGCCAGGTCAGTGGGGAGCAGGGGCACCCCACATTCCTGAGCCATGCATGCTCACCCACCCACATGTGCAGGGCACCCTCACACCTTCTCTGATCCCAACAAGGCTTAACAGAGGCTCACATGTCCCTGCCAGGCGCCCCAAGGCTGCTGGACTGAAACTCGCAGTGGAGGGAAGGGAATGACACTCCTGATCTGTCACCCTGGGGCAGGAATCCAAAACTACGCAGGGGACATAGCAAAGAGGCTAAACAGGGGCTGCAGGGACAGGGCCAAGGGACAGAGAGGTGGGAAAGCAGGCCTCCCAGGGCGGAGTGGGAAAACAACCCCAAGGGTTAGGTACACACAGCAGGGCAACTAGAGCGTCCTGCTGGTGGATGCTGATGATAAATAAGACAGAAAACATACGGGGGGCAGGTGAGAGGTGGGCATGGGGACTGTGCTCACAGGAGCCACAGAAGAAGGTACTAAGTTCACAACACTCCCACAGAGAGGGACTGTGCCCATCGTACCCACAGAGGGGGCTGCACGTACTCATACTGACTGGTATAGATGAACTTCATCAGGATGAGCTCCTGCATGTGCTCATGGAAAATGTCCTCCAGCGTCCGCCCCCATTCTTCCCTCAGCCACGTTCGGAACTCCTTCCAAGAGAACACAGGTCATGAAAACCACCATGACACAGGGACACGGGGAGGCTGTTCAGGGTCATGCTGAGTGGACAAAGCAACATTTTTATAGTTGTGGGTGATGCTGCGGGCACACTCATGACAAAGGAATCCACCTGGGTGGGCACATGAAGACAGGGCTGAGCAGGAGAATAGGAATCTACCATGAGTTTGCTCTCTCAGCGCCTGGCCTCCCTTCCTGTGGAGGCAATGCCACTGGTGAAAAATGAGGGGCTCTGGTCCCTGCTTTCCTAGAACACATAAGCCCAGACTTCAGGGGAAGAAGCAGGGACATGAGGTCCCTTCAGGTGAGGCCGGGGCCACAGTCCATGTCCGGAGATCCCAGAGAAAAGCCACATGAACCTCCCTTCATGCCCACCTGGGAAACAATAGGGGTCTACACGGAACTTGCTCGACACTGCCCAGCATCTGAGCCTAGCTCAGTCTTCTGGCAGAACAGCAGGCACAGCAGGACTCTGTCGCTAAATCCCGTGCTGGGTGAGCTGGCCAGAGTTGCTTCCTGCAGCTGCCCATGAGGACCATGATAGATTCAGCTGGAGTCAAGAGACTGGGTGGATTTCCCTTTCTCAAATGTGCCTTTAGAGTTATACTGTATGTTCAGTGAGTATATGCACCCAAAGGGAACTTTTATAAGCACTGAGTCCCCAAAGATCAGTAATTCATTATGGAATCAAACACTGTGAAGGATGTTTAGTGCTTAACTGCTTCACTGCACATTTAACTTAATCCAGAGAACTGAGTTCCTAGCTCAGTATAGTGGTTCTAATGATTATCTAGAATTAGCTCTATAAACAGAAGCAAAACCTATTTATCAAAACCACAAAAGAGCTACAATCTGTCAACTGCTTTAATATGTTACTGGCCCAAATCTGAAAACAATAAAAACTACTACAGTCACTAAGCACAACTGTTACAACTACAAAGTCAATATGTAAAATCAACTGAATTTTTATATACTAGCATCACGAAATTGTAAGAACTCCTACTTACAATAGCCTAAAACAAAACAAAACCACAGGACTTGGGAGTAAGTATTACAAAATATGTGCAAGACCTCCACTCTGAAAACCCCAAGACTGCTGAGAAAAAGTAAAAGAGGCCTGATAATAGTCCGAGATCTCTACGGACTGGAAGACTCAGCATTGAGTCAGCAATTCTACACAAACTGACCTACAGATTCAATGTCAATCAATCCCACCAGGCTAGCCTTTCTGTAAAAACTGACAAGCTGATTCTGAAATTCATAGGGAAATGAAAAGAACCTAAACATCCAAAGCAGTCTTGCAAAAGAATAAAGCTGAAGGACCCACACTAGGTCAGCTAGTTTTCAACAAAGCTGACCTAGCCACCTGGTAGGGAAAGGAAAGTCTTTCCACAAATGGTACTCCAACAAGTGGACATGCATATGGAGAAAAAGAACCATGATCCCCACCTCATGCCAAACACAAAAAATAATTTGAGTTACAGACCTAAACATAAAGTGAAGCTACAAAGCTTCAAAAGATTCTCTGTCACTTGAAAATAGGCAAAGATTTTTAGAACACAAAAACAATAACCATAAAACAATTTAAAAATAATACTTCACTAAAATCAAAAGCTTCCACTTAATGGCTCAACTCATGGAAGGCCCTTAATAAAACAAATAAAGAAATAACAAATAAAATGGAAGCAAATGAGTGTAATGAACAAGGATTTCAATGTTGCCATGATAAATAATCAGACTTTAGCTAAATGCCAAAGAGAAGATGGCTTGTGAATAGTCATAATCTTATTTACTTTGCATGAAAAGGTCAAAGTCATTATACCAGCCAGACCCAATTACTCAGAAACAAATAACTTTTAAACACGTTTATTAAAAAATAATCTTATAATGTATATATATATGTAAGGAAAATCATAGGGGCCTAGAACACGTAAGACCAGACCAGAGTAACATTATCTGGGGCTGACTCCCCATGCGCTAGCACTGCTCAATCAGTCCAAACCTGCACCAACGGCCCAGGAGAGGTGCGCTAACACTTTCCCTGTTCTGCAGAGGCTCGGGACTTACAAAAGTAGAGAAACCTTCCCAAAGTCACCCAGCTAGTGAGTGACAGAATCGGAGCTAACCCAAGTCCACATGCTAACTGGTTTTGCCTCTAGCAAGGCCAATATGAGAGCCAACAGGAGTGTGGGAGCTGGGCTCACCTGCCCTAAAGGACCATCCGTACACAAGAATCATCAAACTGACAACATGTAACAAGAATTTGGAACACCTTCAGGGCATTTACCTGGCAATATCTCTTTCTGCATGATCCAAAATCCACATAAAGTTTTGCACAGAGATCAGATAGTGAGATGACAGCAGTGACACTTGGCATTTTCCTAGTGTGATACCCTATTCAACCCTCCAGAATCACCTGGGGTGCACAGGTCATTATAATCTCTATTTCAAAAATAAGGGCTGAGGCTCCCAGAGGGTAAGTCACTCAAGCATGTGGTCAAGAGGGTAACAGAAGAAACATGAACATTTGAGACAAACCCCATGCCCACCTGCAGGAGAATGTTTACATCCAATTACATCACAGCAAGATGACGGAATGCTATGCTGAATGAAAAATAAATCTTATGAAGGGTTCTAATGAGACTGGAAAATATCTCTGGAGTAACAAGATTAAAAAATCCAGCTGAGAGAGTAAAATTGTAATTCCATCAGAAATGCCAAAAAACAAAGGGAGGCTGGAGAATGGGCTTTGAGACAACTCCTACGTGGTGGGGCTGTGCTAGCACTTTTCCCTTCAGATTCTGATGATTTTGTATTTGATGATAATAAAGCATCATTTTAATAACTGGGTGATTACTTCCCCAGCTCTGCTCCTCCCTGCAGCCCCCAGGATTCAAGAAGGCCTGGACAGGAAGTGGTGGTGGCTGGGTCTTGGCCATCATCCATGAAGACAAGCCGAGCAGTGTCTGCACTGGGGAGGCAGAGTCTGGGGCAGCCTGAGGGCTACACTCCTCAGGCTGTACTCCTCACGGAACAGCCTGAACTTGGCCTTCAAAGGTGCACACAGCTGGCAGCCATCCTGGGCCTAGAGTTTGCATGCAAGTAAGTGGGAAAGTTGTCAAGCCCTGTGGGTGCAGTTTATGACATTACAGGGCCAGCTTCTGGTACCGATGGAGTGTAAAGCCCATGTGAAGGGCTGGGCAGGACTACTCACTGGTTTCTTCATGAGCAGGATGCTAAAGGGACCGACCACAAGCTACCATGAGCTACCAGAGACTCAAAAACGGCCTGAGAAATGTACACTCAACAAATAGATAAAAGCTACAATGAATCTACTATATTTTAAAAGTTCAAGTTTTGGGGACTTCCACCAAGATGGAGGCGTAGGTGGAAACACTTTGCCTTCTCCCACAACCACATTTAAAAACAACAAAGTTTTAGCAACAAAAATGCAGCCAACTCATAGAAAATCGAACTATATGGAAGTCAGACAACAACGAACCCTTCAGCCAAACCGGTAAGAGGGGCAGACCCAACGGCAGAGCGGGGTCGGGCAGAAAAGACCCAATAGACCAACCCAAGGCGTGACCCAGGCGCACTGGCAGCATGGGCAGATCTCAGGTGTGGAGTAGTGGGCTGACCCACTGAGGGCGCAAGGCAGTGGACCCACTGAGGGCTGACTGTGGTCACACATTTGTGCCCAGATAAACCGTAAACCGGTGAACGAGCGAGCAGTGAGATGGACGGTGCAGGCCACAGTGGAAGGAAATGGCAGGGGGATCGCTATTGTCCCTCTCTGACCCCGCCCCCACATACAGCATCACAAACCAGAGACCTTGGTGGCCTCCCTCTGACCTGCCCCCACATACAGCGTCACAAACCAGCGACTTGGGTGGCCCCACCCTGGTGAATACCTAAGGCTCTGCTTCTCATATGTAACAGGCACAAACAGATCAAAACATGGCTCAAGAACAACTCAGAGCCGATAAATCTAAGTGAGGAAGAAATAGCCAAACTTTCAGATGCACAGTTCAAAACACTGGTGATCAGGATGCTCACAGAACTGGTTGATTTTAGTCACAAATCAGAGGAATAATGAAGGCTAAACTAATCAAAATGAAGGGAAATGCACAGGAAACCAACAGTAACGGAAAGGAAACTGGGACTCAGATCAAAGGAGTGGACCAGAAGGAAGAAAAAAATTACCAAACAGAAAAAAATGAAAAAACAAGAATTCAAAAAAATGAGGAAAGGCTTAGGAACCTTCAGGACATCTTTAAACATTCCAACATCCGAATTATAGGGGTACCAGAAGGGGAAGAGGAACAGCAACAAGTGGAAACCTTATTTGAACAAATTATAAAGGAGAACTTCCCCAATCTGGCAAAGGAAATAGACTTCCAGGAAATCCAGGAAGCTCAGAGTCCCAAAGAAGTTGGACCCAACAAGGAACACACCAAGGCACTTCATCATTACATTAGCCAAGATTAAAATGAAGGAGAGAATCCTAGAAGCAACAAGAGATAAGGGGACAGTCACCTACAAAGGAGTTCCCATCAGACAGTCAGCTGATTTCTCAAAAGACACCTTACAGGTAAGAAGGGGCTGGAAAGAAGTATTCCAAGTCATGAAATCCAAAGACCTACATCCAAGATTGCTCTATCCAGCAAAGCTTTCATTTAGAATGGAAGGACACACAAAGTGCTTCTCAGATAAGGTCAAATTCAAGTAGTTCATCATCACCAAGCCCTTATTATATGAAATGTTAAAGGGACTTATCTAAGAAAAAGAAGTTAAAGAAACATGAACAGTGAAAGGACAGCAAACCCACAGTTATTAACAACCACACCTAAAACAAAAGCAAACTAAGAGGACAGCTAGATCAGGAGCAGAACCATAGAAATGAAGATCACATGGAGGATTAGCAACAGAGGAGTGGGAGAAGGAGAAGGGGGGAGAAGGTGCAGAAAAT